GCTCGAAATATAAAGGAGCCGAACACGAGCTGAGCTTGGCTTGGTCGTGTTCGGCTCGTTTACATCCCTAATGAAGTGATACCTGATCTGAATATGCTTAGTTCTGGATTGAAATGCTGGATTCCTGGCAAGGAATATGACGCTCTGACTATCACAGTAAAGAATGACCTTCTGGTTCTTCTAGCCCAATTCCTCCAAGAAGCCTTGTAGCCATATCATCTCCTTTGCAGCATCTGACATTGTTATGTACTTAGCTTCCGTAGTAGACAATAAAACTGTCTTCTGCAGATTAGAGCCCCATGATACTGCAGTGCCACCAATAGTATAAATATAGCCCGTAGTACTTCTTCTAGTATCAATATCTAGTATCAATGTCTCCAGCTCAGCTAGATCATCATCAACATAGCCTTGTATCTCTGAACTCTTTCCTGAGAAACACAAGCAAGTTTCTGAAGAGCATCTTAGGTACCTCATGATCCACTTCACTGCTTTCCAATGTTCCTTTCCAGGATTACTCATGTATCTGCTAACAACTCTCACTGCATGGACAATATCCGGTCTGGTCCAAACCATAACATATATAAGTGAACCAATAGCTGAAGCATAAGGAACCTTACTCATGTGATCTCGTTCCTCTTCTGACTTGGGTGACTGATTCTTGCTGAGTCTAAAGTGACTTCAAAGTGACTGTCTGAAGTGACTTCCCAAGGATGTGTCAACTGGTTTGGCCTTATCCATGTTGAACTTGCTAAGTACATTTTTCACATATTCAGCCTGAGAGAGTCTCAACATGCCTCTGACTCTATATCTAACAATTTTCATACCAAGGGTTTGTTTTGTCATTCCCAAATCCAATACTTCATTGCAAAGTGTTCTAACATCTTCTCCTTCAGATTATTGATCTCCTCAATACTAGCACCTGCAATAAGCATATCATCGACATAAAGTAGCACGATGATATAGGAATTGTCAGGAATTGTCAAAATACTTGACATAACAACAGTGATCTGTCTGACATCTGCTGTACCTTGTACTGTGTATGAAATTATCAAATTTATTGTACCACTGTCTAGGAGCTTGCTTCAGGCCATACAAGCTCTTCTTCAATCTGCAAACCGACTCTTCCTTTCCTTGTACCACGAACCCTTCAGGTTGGTGCATATAAATGTCTTCTTCAAGATCTCCATGAAGAAAGGTTGTATTCACATCTAACTGCTCAAGAAAGAGATCTTCAATAGCCACCATAGACAGTACCATTCTGATGATTGTAAGCTTCACCATAGTAGAGAAAATCACGGAATAATCAATACCATGTTTCTGCTGAAAACCCTTTACAACAAGTCTAGTCTTGTGCCTCTTACTGTCATCATGCTCAGTCTTTACCCGGTGCACCCACTTGTTGTATAATGCCTTCTTTCCATATGGAAGTTCTGCCAACTCCAAAGTCTGATTTTCAAGCAGAGAAACCATCTCCTCCTTCATGGTTTGCTCCACTTGCTCGAATTTTCATCTTGCAAAGTTTCTTCATAACTCTGAAATTCTCCACCATCTGTTAGCAAAATGTAGTTCAAAGTTGGAGAATAACGCTGTGGAGAACGTCTAACCCTTTCTAACCTGCGAACTGCAACTGTAGGGGTAGACTACTCTAAAACTGACTGTGGAACAATAGGAGTGGATGCCCCAGATCCACTCTAATCATCACCAGCATCTCTGCCCTGCATTGTAACCTCTGGTAAATCATCAAATCTTACCAACTCAGATTCCTTCAGTACTATTTCAGAAACTGTACTGGATTTGTCCTTGTACATAACATTCTCATTGAAAATCACGTTCCTGCTCCTTATGATCTTCCGACCCTGATCATCCCAGAAACGATATTCAAATGTCTCATCTCCATAGCCAATGAAATAACACTTCTTTGAGTTAGCCTCAAGCTTATTACGAGCATCAAGATTAATGAGAATATAAGAAAGACAACCAAAAGTCTTAAGGTGAGAAAATTTTACCTCTTTCCCACTCTAGACTTCTTCAGGTAATTCACATTAATGGAACAAATAGTCCCCTGTTGATCAAATAAATTGCAGTGCTGACCGCTTCTGCCCAGAAAGTAGGTGGTAGTTCGGCGTGCAATCTCATGCTTCTAGCCCGCTCATTAATGGTCCTGTTCATGCGCTCTGCATCACCATTTTGCTTTGGTGTTCCTGGAGTAGTCTTCTCCATTCTGATTCCCTGAGCTGCACAATACTCTTTGAACCCACCATCAATGTACTTACCACCATTATCAGACCTCAGACATTTCAGCTTTAAGCATGTCTCTGACTCACCCGTGGTTTTCCAAGTCTTGAACACACTGAATACATCAGATTTATATTTCAAGAAATAAACTCATACCTTTCTTCATACATTTCTTCTATGATCATCAATGAATGTGATGTAGTAACGAAAGCCTTCAAGAGATGCCACTAGAGAAGGTCCCCGCACATTTATGTGTACAAGATATAGCTTTCTTGTCTTTGGGGTCCTGCCACCT